TCTGGGAGTTGAAGTCCACTCATCTTAAAGTGGCCAAGTTTGGACAACACTGTCATAGAGAAAATCTATGTGGTCACTAGTAGAAAATGACTTGACAGCACATAATCAATCAATCTGGAATGTGCAGCCCAGTACCTACTTTTAATACTCCTGTATGTATCAGTACTTTTCCTTGTTGAAGCATTTGGCATAATAAATTAGTGAATATATTAACCACATAAAAAAAGCAAAAGCAACTTATCTTGCCCTCTTAATTTTACCTTTTTAGAATTCCATGTACAATTATAGATCTGAAAGGGATCATTTAGGCCATAGTCTTAACCCCTTGCTCAGTACAGATACAAGAGTATTATTTCAGATAAGCTTGACTCTGGTGACTTCAGATACATGTATGTAGGATTCTGTTTTGTTTTTGCAATGAAACAAATTGTTCTACCACTGCCTTTTTCCAGGATTTTTTTTTTAACTTCCCAGCATTGAGCCTAAAGCTTTGGACTTTCCTACTGGTCCCCCCTCCAGGTTACACTAATTCGCTTTTCAAGATCAGCAAAGCTTGTCAAGATATTGCCACCTAATATGGAATTATCAGTCTGGTGGCATCTTAGCAACATTATTATGGGTTATCTGATACTTGTAAGAAATTTGGCAGCAATTTTATAGTCAAATAGCTCTAGAGTACATTGCACTTAACATCAGATGGTGGATGAAGCAGCCATTTCTAAAGCTCTTTCAGTTCAATTATGAAGAAATCTTCTTTCTTGCTTTAACCTAATCTTAGCAGTTTCTTAAGTTGACAAATATGGGTATAGAGCAAGAAAGGGAGAACGCATGACATTTGTATTTGACCACAGAAATAAAGCTACACTACATACAGCAAACAGGCTTTCAGAAAAGTTCAGTAAGCCCTTAGAAAAGGATTGACTCTTCACAACATGTAAATAGGACTCTCAAGGCACCACGTGGAGACTCTGTTTCAACAAACATTTATACAGGCAAGAAAGGAGTTGAAAAAGAGTACATATAATGTATAAACAATAGGGCTGTGCAGGTCTTCAGATTCAAAGCCATAAAGGTATTTTTGGGAGCATTGGGGGATGTGAATGTAGCATCAGTCTTCAGCGCCTTAAGCCAAACAGATCTTTTCCCAGGCACACGTGGCTGACTTCCATAGCTATCATGCAATCCCAGTAAAAAAAAAAAAACATGTTTAGGAAGTGGCAGACAAGTGCTATATTTGACCCCCACGTGCTCAGTAGCATGTTTCTACTTTTGAATCTGAAGCCCTGCACAGCCCTAATAATTAGCAATTCAGCAGGGCACCTTCAAGGAGCTTCATGAGGTTTATTCACTAAGAAGCAAAACTCCTCAATAAACCACGACCAGTCCCTGTAAGTTAAACTGGCATTAGACTATACTCACTTACCAGTTAATCTTCCTGAGGCCAATGGGTCCTACCTTTGAATCAATACACATAAAATAGTACAATAAAGTGCCTTAACAGATGCCAAAATTTTACCAAAATGGTTTTAAAAAGACTGTATCTCAGTGACAGAGAAGTTTCATGTTCAGTCCTCAATATATCCAGGTACAGCTAGAAAAATTATCTGAAACCTTGAAGAGTGCTGCTTCTCAGTGCTGACCATAGATAGCCAACTGTGACCTGATTTATACATTTTGCTAAGCCATGATTTAATCACTCTTTATGATGCATAATCACTTAAATCACTCTTTATGATGCATAAACCAGAGCAAAAGAAAGCAGCTTTTTATATTCCCTTGGAATATACAAATGTGTTGCTAGATATTCCTATTCAGAAGCTAATCTAAAACCTCCATACCCCAAGCAAATCTTAAGGGAATAGCTTCCATATCATACTAGGATTTTTCAGCAAACCTTCCACAAGATACTAGACTCACTATACCAGAAGCCAAGACATCCTGATTAACCATAACCATGCCAGCATAGATGCATATTATTTGTCCTACGTTCTCAGATATGAAACATCATATCTGCTTCATGGAAGAGACATATACAGTAATGGCAACCACACAATCGCACCACATCAATGAACTAGACATTTGTTGGGAAGGCTCTGGAAACAGAGTATGGCACAGAACCAATCAATCCATCAGTCACCTTCCCAATATTTAATGCTTTTCATATCAAATTTGACATTTATGAGGATCATTTTAAATGTTAGACATATCATACTATTGTTAATGAAAACCTGATTTCCCAGACAGATGATACACATGGCAAAAATGTCTCTAATGCAACCGTTCCCAGCCTGGAAACCTCCAGAGGCACTGGGGGTCACAACTCCCAAAATTTCCAGACAGGATAGCACGGTATGAAGATTTCTGAAAGTTGAAGCCCTCGCATATCTGGATATAGCCCAGCTGGATATTCTTTAATGTATACGTATGTATAACCCAAAACTATGATGCAAGCACACAAATATTTATACATTTAGATGTATGTAAATGCAACTTATTGGAAGCACATCAATGGAATTCCTATCTTGTTGGACTGCCTATGCAGAGAAGTATTTCCCTGCAAAGATCAGGTACTGAATGACATGTAAAGAGCCCAGGAATGGAACCTATAAAACAAAGTGTTGATGGCTTTTTGTAAATTCCATTACACCTTTTAAAAAGATGTTTAATAACATGTGGAAAATCCTTTCTTTCTTTTATACCATTCTTTCACCATTCTAATTCATTCTGTGCAACTTGCAAAAATACATGGGTCCAAAGTTAGCTGTGAGGTGGGGCAGGACAAGTTCCCCAAGTCTACAATTTGGATAGAAGGAAAACGTGTTCTGGAACAGCCTCCGAAAATGGCTCAAGTCCTCTACTCTCACATTGATGCTGTACTGGATGTTCAGTAACTCCACAGCTCTCTCAACCACATATTCATTTTGGAGCTCAGACAAAGAACATGTTGAATACACCACCTCTCCTCCTGGCTTAGCAGCAAGGACTCCAGCTCTGGAAAAGAATGGGAAAGAAATTATTTGGGGGGATGACTCCAAACTACATTGAGCCACTTATTCAACAGACTGATGCCCATATCATATGCCAGTGCAAGAGTGCACATGGAATCCTTACCCCAGACTATATTCTGGGGCCCAAATATACACAAAATCAATTCTCCTTCCTCTGCCTTGTTAATATGCCATTCACTGAAATACTGAGTTCCCAAAAATAAATGCTTATGGGCACCAATAGACCCAGACACCTCCCATGGAATCCTATCTGCCACACTTGTTTTTTGTTTTGTTACTAGGCACACCAGCATTCAGCAATTTTGTGAATGGGAAGCCCCTGCACACTTGTGCCAGTCCAACCTCATTTTCTCAAAACTCAAAATGTGGCCATCAGCCAAAGAGAGTGAGGATTCTTGCCAACAGTATTGTTTTCCCGCAGCTCCTCCAATCACATAATGAAATAGCATAATTTGAGTGTGATGTAATTTTACAAGAATCTAGTTCAGGAGTGGAAGATTCCTGGGTAACAATATTAATATAAGAATATTAACATAGTTGAAAGTGCAGATTCTTAATAGGTAAAAGTTTATTTTAACTGTTTGGTTATTCCATCACTTCAAGTTCTTTGTCATCCAACAGACAATTCACCAGGATTGTCTACTGCCTTTGATTTTTTGAAGCATGAGGTCTTCTCCAATGACCTTGCCTTTACATTACATGTCTAAAATATTTAAGTTGTAGCTTCATTATTAGTTCTTTTGATCAGCAGTCTGGTTTTATTTTATCTAGTACTGGTCATTCATTCATTCATTCATTCATTCATTCATTCATTCATTCATTCATTCATTTCTTGCCAGTATAAGGTATTCCCAACAATCTTCTCCAGCGCCACAATTCAAAAGCATTGATTTTTCTTTGTTCTGCATTTCTAATAGTCCAGCTTTCACAGCCATGTTACAATTGGGAAGACCATAGTCTTGACAACATAAACCATGGTTGGCAGTATGGTGTCTCTGTATTTAATATGTATATAGATTTGCCATAGTATTTCTCCAAGTAGCAAATGTCTTTTTTTCCTCATGGTTACAGAGACCATCTCTGTGGATTTTTGACCCAAGGAAGATAATTGTACATTACTACTTCTCTGCCTACTGGCAGTGGGTTGATACTAGCAGTTGACGTAAGTTCAGGTTGTTGGGTTTTTTAAACACTGAGCATCAGACTGGCTTTTCTACTCCCATCTTTCACCTTTAACAACACATTTCTTATGTCTTCCGTACTTCCAGCCACCAATGTAGTATCATCAGCATACCTGGGGTCACTTATATTTATGCCAATAATTTTAATTCTGACTTCTGTTTCTTCCATGCAACTCTGGGGGCAATTCATTGGTTTCTGGAAGTATCCTCTGAACTTAAACTGCTTGAGATGTCTTGGAACAGGAACACCACAAATTGCTTCCAGTTGGTATGATTTACTTCTGGAAACTGCAGAACCGTCTTTGGAATGGCACGGTCCAGGGCAGGAGAGAGACAGAACATTTTGGAGCTATCTGGAACATTTTTTTTCCTGAATCATTGATAGACAACACAGAAGGTCAAGATCACTCACATAAGCAATTGCAGCTGGAGCATTGGCAACATCTGACGTTCTCCTTTTCTCGCATATGTGAAGATATTGTTATCTTCTTCCAAGACTGACTGTCGATCATTTGTGCATGGCACATCAACAAGTACCTAATGGAACAGAACACAAACATTCCCTTTGGTAAAATTCCTATATTAAGGAAACATTTGGGTTAGAGTCTTAATTCTATTTCCATGTACAGTGGAAAGCCAAGCAAAGTTTTAAAGTTGCTTTTCCACCATTGTAGAAACTAGAAATTTGCTAAAGTTTTTTTTCTGTTTTAAAAACTGAAAAGCCAGATTGTCAGGGTGTTTTGAAGGAGATATGACAGGAATAGTGACCATTTCTTGGAGTTCTAGTTACAGCAACAACTATTCTTAGATGCAGTGCATGTAAGCAAATGCTCAAAAGTCATTATAGTGAAGTGGCTACTGTGCTGGACTAGGACTGGAAAACCCTGGTTCAAATCTCTAATCTGTCATGAAGCTTTCTGGATAACTTTGGACAATAATTTTTTCTCAGTGTAACCTACTTGACCTAAGGGGATAAAATGACAAAAGAAATTATGCATGAGCTGCTTACAAAATAAGCAGGAAACAAATTAACTAGTAAATAAATGAAATGGATGACAACCAATACTTAGAAGCATTACTTATTTATTTGACAGCATTTCTAACCTGCCTCAATCCTGTTTCTGGGTAGTGAACGGCAAAACCCAAATTTAAACAACAGTATAATTAAATCAATACAATAAGACAATAGATCATTAAAAAACATAATCGTGAAAACTACAACAATCATAAAAAAACTATACTGACATTCCCAAGCAGCCGAGGTCAAAGGTTCACTGGGAAAGGATACTGTTGATTCAAGCAGGGTAGGGACTGCCCGTATCCCAGGGGGAGAGTGTTTCATAAAGTGTGAGCTTCTGCTGAGAAGGTCTACTGTCTTGTCCACATCCCGTTACCTCACAAGGAGAAGGGACTCTAAGCAGACATTCTCTAGAAGACCAGACCAAGCAAGCAGGTTCTATTCTGGCAAAGCACTGCTTGAGCTAACCCACTGTTGTGCCATGCATTTAAAGATAATGGCCAGCACTTGAATTCAGCCCAGAAGCCAACCAGTGACCAAAGCAGTCAATTTAAAATAGGCATTACTTTGGGCTGATGGGATTGGCCTCTGCTGCTGCATTTTGTACCAACTGCAGCTTTTGAGTGTGTTACAAAAGTTCAACAGAGTAGTGACCAAGACACAAGTCACTGATTGCAGGGCACAGATAATCAAGGACAGATGATCAAGGATTTTGTTACAACATTACTAAATGGATATTAACTATTAATTTCCAGAATAAAGACTCCAAAAACATGCTGACCAGGTCTTGGCTAGAAACTTACTGCCACTACAGGGAGAATTCTAGAGGTGCAAATGGGTACTAGTAAAGGAGCAAGGACTATTCTGTACAAGAAATGAAAAAATATCTAAAAGACTCTATTTGGCAAATGGGATCCCAGATCCTGGGTGTCTCAATTCCCAACAGCAAGAGTTAGAATGATACTTACCTTATCATAAGTATCTGTTTCTGTATCACACCAGTTTCTTCCATCCCAAGAGGTAACCCGCACTATATTATGGATCTCTTTGGGAAGATAGCTGCGGAGGACATTACGTAGCCGGCCAGTGCGAGAAACAGAAAGATCATTGGCTGCCAGCTCACCTGTTTCAAGAAGAACAGAAGCTTAAACCAAGGGCAGCATATCTCAGACTCTTCCAATCACAGATATAAATCTACATAGAAATTATGGCTATCTTGCTATGTGATACATGCAATCTCTCTCAAGTACCTATAGATCGTTCTCTTTCACCCTTTCTCCACTTACCCACATGTACATGTAGCTATCTTGTCTATCAAGTCAATGTCAATATTCAGAGGAAGTAATGGAGAAGGAAAGTGAAAGTCTTTTGACTTGTCACCGGATATACCCTCATAAAAAAGAATCTATTTGAATATTATGCCCACATCAGGCTATACCAGTTTATGATTTAGCTTTGCATGATATGTGACTGCAGCCATGATACAGTGTATGAATCTATCAGACAAGAATCACATATATGAAATGGCTTGCTACATAAATTCAATAAACAAATCAATAAGTACACCCCAAATAAAAGCCTTTTTGCAAGGGCAAGAGCCATAGTAGGCAGGGGTACTGGTGGTGGTGATGGATGTCAGTCTTTTAAGCCTTATTTTTATTATTTAAAGGGCTTATTTTTATTATTCAAATGTTTTTTAGTGTTCCAATTTCAAAATTTCACCATTTTTCAGCAGCTATGCCAGAATTGGCTCTAGAGTTGCAAAAAAACAAGATTTGGGTAGGAGAAAAAGGGACTTCATGTGGCCTTGGAGCCTTAGATTGCCTACACCCCTACCATAAAGAAGCTTCCCTGAATGGCACAACTTAACTTTTCAATAAATGTGTAGAAACCCAAGTGACACAATGTGTTACACGACAGTACCCTTTATTACAATTTTGATATGAGAGACAAAAGGAGAAGGACGGGAACAAGGAGCAGTTGTGCACCAGCTTTCTCAACTCTGGAACTATAAGAAACTTACAGAGTGATGCTTGATATGCTTTCCAACAATTAATGAATGGTGTGCTTCCTCTTGGAAAATTGCCAAAATGAAAAGGAAAAGGTTTTACGTGTACAGAAATAGAGGAAGATTGAGACAATATAACTTACCTATTACAGTGTTGCCTGCACTGCCTGATAGCAGTGTTTGCAGGCAGGTATCTTTGCCAGCTCTACCTGAAAGCGGTAGGAATGAAACCTGGGACTTTTCCCAATGCCAAGCATATTTTCTACCCCTGAGCTATGTGGCTCTTCTCTAAAGAGAAGGCATTATGAGTATCTTCTCCTCCAGCATCTTTCACTGGAATGACAGCCTACAAATGGCAAAAAAGTATATATAAGGCTGTAGCACTCCATTTATAACAGTGAAAGTCAACTTTCTTTGCGTGTGTGTTGTGGGGGAGGCTATTACTTTTCAATGAATATGCTCAGAAAGTGTTGGGATATTCCCAGCTCTATATACTGAATGAGAAGCATCTTTTCACAAGAATATAGTAAATTTAAAAATAATTGTCCTCATATCAATTAGCAGATACTTTATCCATTTATTCCAGCATTTTTCAAACTTAGCAACTTTAAGATGTGTGGACTTCAACTCCCAGAATTCCCTAGCCAGCCATGCGGGCTGGGGAATTCTGGAAGTTGAAGTCCGCACGCATCTAAAAGTTGCCAAGTTTGAAAAACACTGATTTATTCCACCTAAAACTCCAGAAGAACAGTTTCACCAACTCATCTGTCTATATTACAAATGAAGTATCTAAACTTGGAAAAGCAACACTGGTAAAACATGTTACTTACGACAACACCCGGTCTGTAAAAGTGCCAGCATCTTCCCACCTGGCGCTGCACAAAGGTCAAGGACTATGCTTCCAGGCTGTATATCGAGAGCCAAAACAGGTAAAACTGAGGCAGCATCCAGAAGATAGTAACCAAGAATTCCTATGATGTCTGGTCTACAAGTCAAGGAAATACATTAGGTGAAATACACAACAAGCACTGCAGATGCATACTTACCAGCCCTAAATAGTTGAATATCCTTGCTCTACAGTGATTTCTGCTTATACACATTACTACTTCTGAAGGTTTGTAATGCATGTGCTACGCTTTATTTACAGAAGTCCCAAGTAAATGTTGGAGAGCTGATGTCGCTGAGATAGATGGACGAGAATATCAGACAGCTTCCAATGTACTTTGCCTTTTTAGCAGTAACCCAATATTTAAAGAATTTAAGGTATATGCAGCCTCTATGCAATCATATCTTGAGAAATGATTTTCAATTGCCTTTCTGTGCTTCATATCTTGTTTTTATACAGAACAAGCATAACAATGCAAGGCCCTCCAAATATTAATAAATCAACTTCCATCATATCTGATTACTGTCTATACTAGTTGGGGCAGAGTAGAATTGTTTTTACCCAGAAAGCCACAGTATCTTGCCTTGGTTTTAGTGACTGTATGTATCTCAGCTACTGCTAATATAATTGAGAAGATTTAGTGTATCAGAAGTTTTGATTTTACAGACTGCATTTATACTATAAAGAATGTTGTATTTTGAATATGTTGTCAACTGTCTTGGTCAGGCTTTGAAAAATGGCACATGCATGCTAAAATAAATATATGATGTATAAATTGAGGATTGTGTATTTTTGATGGCACAGCCAAGAGCAAATACATTTAAAAAGCACAATATGTTTTTGTACTTTTGTCTTCTGACATGAAAGTTCTATTTATTTTACTAAATTAAAAAACTTTCTGAAGCAAAAAAGCAAACTTAAAAGGAACAGCAAATGGATATTTCAGGAAAAGTTTATAAGCATTCTAAAAATCCAAATCGACTTCATACCTGGCTTGATGAAAACGACTGATGTCTCCTTTGGGGAATGTGTAACATTTTATGTTAGGACTGACAGAAGGAAAATGGTGTGCTTGAGTCTTTGAAAGTTCTGTCTGAATTTGGGGGGATGAAGTTGGCACACTGACATCTTCTTCAGTGGTGGAATCTAGTTCCTCAATTACTTTTTGAGATTCTTGGATGAAATCTACCGCATTCAGGTCTTCTAGACCTTGAATGACCTGCTGTACATCAGAGAAATTGTTGACTAGGGCCCCGTATTTTTGCACTGACAAGAGACTGATGCGGATTGAGGGCCAGAGGGCGCCATACTGGTCTCCATAGTTCATGTCGAAGATCTGGAGAGCCACTCTGGTATTAGTTGCCCGAGGAGCAGTGGCTGCCTATAAAAGGGTAAAAAGATCATCCAACAAAAGCATTTTAAAGTTGTCACTGATAATGAAGAAGCAATATTTTAATACTGCTTGCCTACTGCTTGCCTACTGAGTGAGTTCTCTCTCACACACATACAGTAAACATACTTCAGGATGGCAATGTCCCACATGGTTGAAAAATGTGAATGAATACTGGAATCATGAAGCTAGGCCCACATCGCTATTTTCTACTCAGTTTGGACCAAGAAAAACCCAAATTATCAACTCCCCATGCATTCCCTCTTTCTGCACAAGAAGATACCCTAGGAAAAGTTGTCTTCTTCAACAAGAAAGCCTGTATTCAAGAGTCAAGCTCAGTCACCTGAATTAAACTATGTGCTAACTGAATATGCTTTATTTCTAATAATTGTTGAAATTATTTATTACATTATATTCCACATATCTAAATCAAAGCAGGGTGAAATCCTCTCCCCACCCCAAGATACTCACCTCCTTTAACAAAGAGCACCAATCAAAGAAGCCAAATTTAGATTGCTGATAAAGGGCTATAATCTGGAATTAAATCCCACAGACCTCACTCTATCTAAATAAAATGGTATAGGCTAGTGCTGTAACACTTGATAACTCAGTAATACATTTCCTTGGGACTTACAGGTGAAACTCGAAAAATTAGAATATCGTGCAAATGTTCATTTATGTCAGGAAGGCA